CATGGACATGCATGGACATGGTCTTCATTGGGAACGCGTACTACCGAGCGTGTGTTCGTTGTGTCCAGATACATATTTGACCCAAGGTAGTGGTAGATAGTAGGTGCGCTTCTCGATGGGGAGCCTGGCAACCGGTGGTAAGTTTCTATGTGGGGTCTGTTCTGGGATACGTGGGGGAGAAACAGATTTCGAGGGTGAAAAACTCAATCGGGCTCCCAGAGGTAACGAAATGCGACGTGTCAGGGACTGCGCGATGTTTCAAGTGGGCGGTCACTTGCCGTTGTGAGGCATACCATGAGTTGAAAGCATGAAACCGTGCATCTTCATCATAAACCATCGTGTGGCGCATATGCGACGCCATCGATCAGGTGTGCTTTGCGTGGCAGGTGTATGGAAGGTGTTTTGTTGGAAATGTGGCAGGAAACACAACATAGCTTTCCAGAGCGTTGGGCTGATTGTGCGGATGGGTATTTCCGATGTGGTAAATGGGTTGCGTGTTGATTTTGTCGGCGAAGTGGTTGCGCGCCAGGACTGTGCGACTCGAAGGTGAACGTCGCGGCTGATGACATCGAAGCCGCTGTGCGTGACGTCTGGGCATCCACGTACAGCCAGGAGCGCGCAAATTGTACCAGATGTAGTGTGTCAGTCACGATGCGGTGTCCGCTCGCCGTGTTTCTGGAGGTCGGACATCTCCTTGTCAAGCATTGCTCCCTAAACGACTCCTTGCCAAGAGCGGCTCGCGCAAGTGGGTACATATTGCCGTCGTGTCGTTGCAGTTCGGTTTCAGCGGTAGGGTTTCATAGGCTTTTCCGTCGTTCCTTCTGTTCCAACCTCATCTTGAGGTCCCACCTTGCCCCCCAACCCAATCCAACCCACCTCGCCCAACCCCACCCCACAACCATACACACATCACTCCCACCAGCGCACCCCACCCCCCATCCCCAACCCCCACCCCCACCACCCACCCACCCGCCACCCCATCTACTTAGATCCTTCCCTCATTGTCTTTTCCCATCTCCTCACCTCATCATCCTTCCCCCCCGCTCCTGCTTCCCTTCTCTCCCTCCCCATCTCTCCCCTCTCTCCTCCAGCCCAGCGAGGGTGGCTTTGGACACGGCTTCAGGGCGAACGGATGATGATACCCACAGTGTTTCATGCAAGTAGGTCCGATTGGCGTTCTGATTTGCATTCCGGGGATGTGGCGATCGACGAGCAGTGCGGCCCAGGTAAGCGCGATTGGCATGCATTTGAAGGGCGGCGTGAAACGAGGAGGAGGAGGAGGAGGAGGAGGAGAAGGATGAGGAGGAGGAGGAGGAGGACGACGACGACGACCAACTCGAGGAGGAGGAAGCGAGCGTATGGAGGGGAAGAGGAGGAGGAGGAGGAGGGGGAGGAGGAGGAGCGGCAGTGGCAGCAGGAGCAGGAACAGGAGGAGGAACAGGATGGGGGATATGCGGGATGACGTTGGATGAGGAAGGATAGAGGACGGAGGACACGGAGGAGGACGAGAGGGGGGAGGCGGAGAGGAGGAGGAGCAGGAGCAGGCGTTGGAGCAGGGAGGCGGAGAAGGAAGAAGAGAAAGAGGGAGAAGGATGGATGGAGGAGAAGGAGGAGGAGCAGCAGAAGCAGCAGCAGGACGAGGAGAAGGAGGAGGGTAAGGAGCATAATGGAGGAATACGGAGGAAATTGGAGAAGTAGGGGGAGAAGCAGGAGAAGGGGCATGAGGGAGCAGAATGAGGAACAGAAGGACAAGGAAGAGGCCAGTTGTTCAATCTGCCAGCTTTGTTCTGCCAGTGGTTCATCAGTGCAGTGTTCCTCCTCCTCCTCCTCCTTGGTGTTCTGCCATTGGTCTTTTGCCAGTGGTGTTCTGCCAGTGGTTCAATCTACCGCCGTATAGGAGACCGTGGAACACGCCAAGCAGCTGGGACTCGACATCGGCAGCTCTGGGATGGTGTGTTCATTTGCTTCAGCGAGTAAGAAAGGCGCAGCCGCAAAGCATAGGAGGAAGGGGTAGTAGTAGTAGTAGTAGTAGTAGTAGTAGTAGTAGTATTAGTAGTAGTAGAAGTAGTAGTAGTAGTAGTAGTAGTATAGAAGTAGCAGTAGTTGTTATAGTTGTAGTTGTAATTGTATTATTATTAGTAGTAGTAGTAGTAGTAGTCGTTGTAGTAGTCGTAGTAGTAGTAGTAGTAGTAGTAGTAGTAGTAGTAGTAGTAGTAGTAGTAGTATTAGTAGTAGTAGAAGTAGTAGTAGTAGTAGTAGTAGTAGTCGTCATAGTAGTAGCAGTAGTTGTTATAGTTGTAGTTGTCATTGTATTATTATTAGTAGTAGTAGTAGTAGTCGTTGTAGTAGTCGTAGTAGTAGTAGTAGTAGTAGTAGTAGTAGTAGTAGAAGTAGTAGTAGTAGTCGTAGTCGTAGTCGTAGTCGTAGTAGTAGTAGTGGTAGTAGTAGTAGTAGTAGTAGTCGTAGTCGTAGTAGTAGTAGTAGTAGTAGTAGTAGTAGT